GTAACGACTATAAACGTTGCATTTTGCTGCCTAGAGTTCAACAATCTAACCGCTAGGTTTATTCTCAGTGGGTTTATCCGCATCAACCGATGCCTAGCTTTCAGTCAACTGAGCGCGTGCAGCGTGGAACACCACCATCAGAGGTGCGCGGGCATGTTGAGAGTATTGTTGGGAATGTGTTGGACCCCAAAAATACATGCAGCTATCTCATCAAATGCTGACGGCTCTTGTCAAGCAGGTAGTTTTATGCGATTTTCACAATGGATTAGATGGTGTTCGTTCGGTTCCCACAAACCTCCGGGCATTTGGACGTACGGTTTTGGCGAAATCTGCTGATGAACGTTCCAGTGACAATTGTTTTTCGTGCATGCAGTAAATGATTTTTCGGCCAAGATTTTTGTACCTTGTCACGCCGTTGCCAATCAAATCGTGCGGATAATTTTGGAGCATGTGACCTTAGTTGTGTAGGTACAAGCTGTACAATTTTCTTGTGATGGTCTGTACAGGGATTGAGGGACCGACTCCGTATGCCATTAATGAAGACGAGCATTTTGCTTTCCCGCTCAAGGAGACTGTGGATCCGTTTTGGGACCGTTTCTGTTTCTGATTTACGTCAACGACCTTCAGGATGTTAATTCAAGTCCATGTCTACTTTTTGCGGACGAATTGAAATCCATGAGTTCTCATATCAGCGCACTCCAAATGGATGCGGACGCTGGAAAGCGGTAGTCATTGAACCGGTAGTTCCTTTGAATGACCAGAAATGCGTTGGTACGTCATTCGGAGGAGACCAATCAAAAGCCTCTGTCATGTATGGCGATAATGGAACAGAAGACATGTCGAGGATAGATTCCCGAAAGAATTTAGCCATTTGGCTCTCTTTAAACATGTCCTTCTCACCGCAACATTGGGAATCAGCCCAAAATGTACTTGTTGTTCCTCAGATGATTTACCGCGCCTTTTCCCGCATTGATCGCAAGGACTTCCAAGTACTCAGTGGGCCTGCGTCAGATCGCTTCTTGAATATGCCGACCAAGTCGGTTATTCAGGACTCAAGAAAGACGTAACCCTCATTGAGCGCGTAAAACGAGCTGCTTGCCTGCCTCAAATCCGTGGGCTGAGTAAGGCGGCTCCAGGTGCTTGAGCGTCGTTGCTCTTGAGGGGACTTTTGCCCAGTTTGAACAAGGTTTGGCCAATAGGTTTTTCACCGCTGACCCAAAATTACACGATAGGAATTTTTTCAGGTCCAGAGCGTACACTTTCACGAGGCAACCTTTCTTCTCACTTCGGGTAGTAGCTGCCTGGAACAATCTTCCTCCGATGGTTGTCCACGCTCCTTTTAGAAACCAGTTCAAAGCATTGTTAGAAAATTTTATGCGAGTCCTTGCGCTGGTAAGCATACTGCCCCGCACTGAGAACTCAAAAAGCAGTGTTATATTTTTTCGGTTGCGCCTTTCAGGTAAACGTCAGTCTCTGAACAACAGTAACAAAACTGACCGGGGAAACTTGGGCAGAAGCCTCGCTCCTGTGTATTAATTCAGCAACCTGTAGACATTGAATTAAAGGTTTTGTGATAAACAAAATGGTGCCGCAATTGCGGATCATCAAAGCAGCGGTTGGATGCCACATATTTCCAAGTACGCCAAGCAATCAGGAAGCGCGTAATCCCTTTAGTGACGTTATCCTTTTCTAAAAAATTTCTTTCAGTCCCAGACGACATATTTTGCCGCTGGGCTTGCTTCGATAGCGCTGTCAAATGGACTGCCATTTGTTATGTGATAATGTGGTAACTGCGTGAAATATTGCACGATTTACATGCCGTACAAATAACGAACTTACTAGATGTACATCACGTCATGTAAGCCGTCCTTGCGTAGTGCGAGCAGCATCACTTGCAGTGTGACAAAAAATTGGAGTGAAAGTGCAAACAGGCTTTTGAAAAAGGTGTATTCCAATCCACCTTCCTGGGACATGCGATCCATAAGGTCATTTGACCCATCCGTGAGTGAGAGTTTCTGAGTGCCCACCACTGTGTTGGGGTGGCGGAATTTGGGAGTAAGATAGCCATTTTCAACACACGATTTGTCGCTCACTACATATGCATCAAACCGGGTTTCGGGGAGAATTGTCGCACGGATACCCAGGGTTCTTCATCATCAGTTGGCATTCCGGCTGGCATCCCAAACTGCACTTTCAATCAAGTTATGTTTCTGTCCTTGATGTTTTAGAAATTTCAATACCGCTCCTCCCAGCTCACCAATCCACCCACCAAGTTGGCTAGACAAATGTAAACTATCAGGTCAAGTTATACCTTCGTAAATTGTTTAAAGCAACCGTCATGACTTCCGGGGGGACTTCATAGAGATCTTTCGGCCAGCAAACTAAATTTGCTGGAGACATATGAAGCTGAGATCTTTATTGAAATCTGATTAAGCGGGAGTAGAAGCTTGTGAATCGATATTGGATCACTTTTTTGGACAACCGGTCATGGGGGTTGATGGAAGGTCAACACCAATGCCCAAGAGCCCTTGTGGTCTCTGTGGCCTGCCAATTGACCCTGTTAATTAATTGTTCTCGAGCAACCAATTATTAACTGAGAATCAGCCATGTTGATTTTGTGGAGAGAAGGTCGTATGAGCACCGTTAACCGATCTAGCACATAGTGCTGCGGAAATTTATATTAGCTATCGGTGCATTAAATGAGCCCTTCTGCTATTAAATTTTTGGCAAAGAGGTTATTTTCTAGCCTGGCCGATTCCGGTCCGTGGATATGCAGCCGAGCCTGCCCGTGAAGACTAGAGGTTTTGTTATTCTGCTCAGGTTTACCGGAGTCCAAGAGCGGTGCGTTGATATTTCAATGCTTGTATACATGCTCTTGATTGTGTTTTTGAATCACCTGATGGTAATTCCGTCTGAGCGCCGAATCAGCAAATATTTCAAGGCTGTTTCCAGGGCCACCACCTGACCGTGCGAGCTTCTGAACATGGTGATTTCGCAGGTGTACTGTCATGACTCTACATGCCACACTGATACAAAGTACACTTCGCAAGGTTCGACTACACTCGGAAAGCTAATGGATGGCCAAACGCCAGTTTTAACAGACCTAAGCGTTCTTAGTTCGGTTTTGGGCGCTGTTCACATGCTAAACCCTTCTGTGCTGATGAAATTCAGTCGCTGAATCCGCGACTGAAGATACTGACAAACAAAGGCGCTTTTAGCTGCGACAGATGAGTAAGTAACATTGGTGTGCGTAACATGACTCATCCTATGGACTGTTTCAAAACAGCAGCGATATTCGGCAAATGATTTGCAAATGATTTCGGATATTTAGCGCCTCTGTAACCGTTTTAACAGCAACCTCACCGATCGACACGAATTGAATACCAACAATATCATGTTCAGTCACCTTGACTGAAAATGCGGGAAACACTACAAAGGAATGATTACATCATGTACTTTACGGCGGTAAACGTTTAACTCTTGGCCGTCGACTCTGTGCTGAGTCCCTCTGTGTGTACTGCCCGCAATGATAGGGGAAATGCACAATCGCAAAACCCTGTTTTCAAATGAGTTTTGCGCCTATGTACTTTGATGTTATGCACAAGTGATCTTCTAATGCCGTCCTGTTAAGCCCTTAATGGTACAAGGCATGTTCCCATCTTCGCATACTGATATCAGTCTATCAGACAGTTTACACTTTTACGGTTTTTGGACAGACAAACGTTGTTGCATGTAGTTTACTGCTATGAAGGATGGTGATGCCGACTGTGATAAGTTCAGCTGGTACTATGCTACTGGACAGCTGGAAGTAGTTTGTCTCTTGCTTGATCGGCTATTCTGAACCACATATCCTGTAAGCGATTGACAAATAAGTCGTTGTACGGTAATGTCCATGTGCTCCCTGTGATGGCATTGAATGTCAGACAGTAGTCCTTATCAACAACTGTTCCTCTTTTCCTTTAGCAGCCACGTACTGAATGAATTTTGAGCTTTGGATGTAAACACGCTTTATGGCTGATGTAAGAGCATACGAAGGGCTAGTACAAAACGGATCCTTCATTCTAGCAAGGCAATGATTTTAGTTTTGCCATTATGTTTGACTACCGTTAACTACATCCTTTGTTGTCAAACTAAGCATCTTGTGGGGGGCCAATTTTAGCCGTCTCATTGCTCTGCTTTACCCAAAATGGACTTTGGGAAGCTACAGTATGAGCTGTTTTGTTTTATGGTTATGAGACTTGGCCTATTCGAACAGCGTAACTGAGACGTATTCAGGTGTTCCACAATCGTTGTCTCAAAACCATGGCTCGTGTGGGTTGGTGTCAGCGAATCCGTAACGACGCAGTCATAAAGCGCGTTTTCGGTTGTGCAACGGTTATTTCCATTGAAGAATGTGTCCAGCACCAGAAGCTGCGTTGGTTGAGACACGTGTTACGTATGCCGGACCATGGTTTGCAGAGGAGAGTGCTGTTTTCCATGCCCAATTCAGAGTGGCGTAAACAGAGGGGTGGCCAACCCTTGNAGAGGAGTATGAAGGAGATCACGAAACGCTTGGGTGCTGTCGGTGCTACTCGCCTTCCAGGATGGGGACCACGTGATCCTCGCTGTGCCTGGTTGGAGACACTACAAGATATGGCTGCCAGCCTATGTCAGTGACTTTCTTGTCAGTTTCTATCCAGATTGCCTGAGTGAATTTCTCGAGGCCTAGGCACCTCGCAGTGATTGTCATAAGCTAGCACTAAGTCCCTCCCCTGTCCACATTTACTCTTTTCTTCCCAATAAGGTTTTCAAATAAATCATGGTTGTACGGCAGTGAAGCATCGGTGTTAAACACTGATGTCCTGTTGTCGATGATGATATGAGCACAACTTAGCAACAGTTTGGTCCCATCTTCGGTATTTTATATCTCAATTTATTTTGCACGCTCCACAGAAGTTTTTTCTTGCAGATGTAATCCATTCTATACATGCTATAATGAAGAGTGCCGAGAAAACAACTGTTGGTGTCAATAGTTGAGGGGGAATCACGAAATATACAAAACACCAAGTGGTCTAACAGATAACTGCGAAAGCACAAAGGTACACGGAGCGGATGGCTTCAGAAAAGTTGTCAAATATCCTCACCTTTCAAAGAGGGGCATCTGTAGGTTGTGCCCGAAAAACGGAGAGGAAAACGCCAATGTCATTCTCCAAAACTGGATGAGCATTGCTGCCACGTGGATATGGTGAAAGTAATGACCTCTGTTTCAAACGTCAAGTCTGGGATTCAACCCAGAGAAAGTCCTCGTTTCACACTGTCAACCGAACAAATTTTGAAAGGTAATCTTGTTACAAACGAGGTGGGACGAACAAGTGATCTGCTGCCTAAACCTGGTAGCCGCAGTAAAAAAAACTACGGTTGAGAGAGAGGGAGAGTGACAAAGTGGGACTCAGCCTTAATTTTTCAGCAGGATAAGGAAGGCTGAAAAAAAATAATTTGGAACTGATTTCTAAAAAATAAACCCCAGTGAAAAGACGAATGAACTTTGGTGAGAAACGACCTATAAGCTGAACACTGACTCATTTTTGCCGGCTCTGGTTTATATAAAAATATAAAAAAACGAAAGGTTTGGGTTCTTTCGGACTTCCACCTTCCTCAAAAAGTGGGATTTGTCTAGTTTAGTCCAAGTATACTGTCAAGTTCCTCTAAATTCAGTTGTTGATCTATCCAATGTTGGTCTTCACCAAGCGAGAAAGGTGAACTTGGGAGGTTACATTGACCGAGGGCGGTGTTTTCTACCAATATCGATGCACTGATCATGGGTTCCGTCTGTGAGTTGTCGCCGTCTAGTTTAAACTCCGGACAGTCTGTTAAGCGGATAGATGAATCAACATTTGCTTCCGGTGTACACAGTCGACTGATATCGTTCCCATCACTTGGAGTTGTCGGTTGGTCGGGTTCAAATTCTCCACATTCGGCTCCCAAATTGTCTGTGAAAAAGTGGTGTATAAATTCGGACAAACTACTGTTCCACCATTCTGTGGTCGACTTGACGCGTAAACCTCGAATAGTCAAATCCAACGGATCATTGGTTGCATTTAAGTCGATTGTCGTCGATATATCCTGTAAATCACAATGGGAAGATTGCTCGGTATCTCTGATGGTGACAGGCTGATCAGTCGGTCCATGGGAAGTGATATTGTGAAGGAGATCGGCCACATCTGTTGAGATATTTTCAGAAAAACCGAGATAGTTCTGCTTGCTGGAATGATCGGTCGAATCACTGGTTGTTACATCCGTTATGGGGAAATCGTGTTTAATTTTATCTTCCAGTGGCAATGAATCGATTTCGCTTTTCGGATCCAATATGCCGTAGTTGTTAGTCGCGGCACTCAGCAGCGAGTCGGGCGAAAGGTAAGTCGTATCAGGGACCTGGGGCGGGGGTGTACACAAATCTGAAAGAGGTGATGAAGAACCAGATGCCGAACTCCAAGTTGTATCACTCAGAGATATACCACTACTTCGTTGACTGGAAGTGGTTTTGGCTTTCGGAAAGTGTTCTGTACGTCGTCGTTTTGTTGTATGTTCAGCTGTCTGACAAGGGGCAATAACTCTCGTGTCTAGCAGGTTATCCTTCTCATGAGACCTCATTTCAACGTCAATGTCTTCTAATGTGTTAACAGGCCTTGTGGGTTTCACTGAATTGCTGTTTAGTTTGTTTGCTGCGCGATTAGAATACGATCCCAAGCAGCAAACACCGTGCTGCCAAAAATGCAGAAATTTAGAACTGATTCGATTGCTGGACAACTGCTCTTGAAATTCAGGATTCAGGCGCCATAAATCACCACGACCACCCGGTTCTTCCTTACGTCGTGGTACACGTTGGAAACAGCGGCTTGACACAAGGTTTTGGCGAAGAGCTTCCTGAAAAAAAAACAAGAGTACAAATGGGTATGTAATGTGCAAGATCCGACAATCAAATAGTTTCAAATGTTAGGTAAACTTGGCTTATAATTCGGGACCAGTATACTGGAGAATCCACTGGAGCGACTCAGATTTTTTGACATTTGCGGACTTGTGCACAGATTTGTAATACCACTTCACAAATCCGCGACCATCTTTTCGGGAAGACGTTTTGTTTCCTTAAAAGATCGAGCCTGTCCCAATATGTGCGAACTAGGCCGTTGCGGCGTGACCGATCGGCTGAGGTGGTTAAATGATACATCGAGAAAATTGGTGTTCGCCCAGCTTGAATATTACCCAGCTGTATAGAGTAATCAGTCGCCGGTGCTAAAAGATCATTTGTCATACTGTGTATTCCAAGTCAAGAGAATAAGGGTTAACGCGAAAGAACAGCTTGATTCATCGTCATCATCATCATCATTCATAATCACATCATCATTAAGATCATTTGTCATACTGTGTATTCCAAGTCAAGAGAATAAGGGTTAACGCGAAAGAACAGCTTGATTCATCGTCATCATCATCATCATTCATAATCATCATCATCATTGTCATCATCGTCATCATCATCATTCCCAGCCTCATCTTCATAGTTTACAAACAAATAGCTCTCGTATTTTAACAGACGGAAACTCGTAGCAGGGGCCGACATAGGTTCGACTAATCAGCTTTTCATCCAAGCACTAAGGAAGTCACGGGAGTCTCGTTTTGGGATGTGGAAGACTACGTTGAAACCTCGTGCTTTATATCTGCGCAACCAGAACGCCATTACCAGCCAATTCGACTGTGCTGGTCACTACCGTCTCCCTGGATGGGGGCCCCGAGACGGGCCACATCAATGGCTAGAGACATTATCAGACATGGCCCAGTCGCGCCCTCAAAGGCGCTCATGCATCAAAGCTATTGCATTCAGTGCATAGCTCCCTTCCCAATCCCCTCAACTGACAATCCACTGACGGTCCTGTATCCAAGCGCCAATTTATCAGCTCCCGCCTCCAACACGCAGCTACTTACTCCACCTCCCCAGATCATCGGTGGACGAAATTGTGGCAGCTGCAACCACTGTAGGACAAGTACGCGATTCTTGCAGCTGATACTGATCTTGATGATGATCTTTGGACTGGCCACACGTTCTGAAGCGTTCAGTCACTTTTGTGACTTTTGAGTCGATGGACTCGAAAATTGGTCAAATTTTTGTATAGGTGGGCTCAAATTGCCCTGCTGCCGTATTCCTGCAACATCAAACGCTTTGCACGTTCAATCGCTCTTAATTCAAGTCGCTTTGCTGTATCTTTTCGAAGGAGACAGCTAATTGTTCCTCCTTTACTAAAATGACAAAGCTACAAAATTCGGCCTCCTGAATTTAGGAAGTTCATCAATCCTATGGATAACCGAATATATATATATATATATA